ATATATATATATTAAAGCCCAATTGTGTGTGTGCATGCTGGATTGATTTTGTCATACACTGGATTATTCCAAAAGTGGCCTTGCATTTTTATGGAAATAGTGACAAAGTCAACAGTGTGTTTTGTTCATTTGATTTCCTTGGTTTTTATTTGTTGCCCCTTAGAACTGACTTGTTTACATGGCTTCTTCTTCTTCTAATATGTTCAGTATGCTCTCAGCACTATACAGTTGCCTGTAAAACACTGATCTTTAGTTACATAGTACTTTCTGTTTTAATTGTGTGTACTTGAAGAGTTGAATGAAAATGCTAATAAATTGTGATACTCTGTGGGAAATGTTGTTGCTTGTTAATCCTATGTTAATCTGCATCAAAGATGGGTGGTGGTTTCAGCTACTTGGACAGAAGTGAGGTAGATGCTGTGCCTTTGTACCATACACTACTTTTAAGTTCATAGCTGTCAACACATTTGTCTTTTAAATCATACATAATTAATTAAGAGGCCATTCAAAGGAATAGTGCACCCAAAATTGAAAATTAGCTGAAAATTTACTCACCCTCAGGCCATCCGAGATGTAGATGAGTTTGTTTCTTCACTGGAACAGATTTGGAGAAATTTAGCATTGCATCACTTGCTCACCAATGGATCCTCTGCAGTGAATGGGTGCCATCAGAATGAGAGTCCATGGATTTTAGTCGGAAGCAACATTATGAAGTTTAAAAAATGACGTGATGTATTTATTACAAACACACTGTTCACTTCACAAGATGTTAATTGATGGACAGGAGTTCAGGAGTTCCTTTTGGATTATCATGACTCATGTGACACTCATTCTGACGGCACCCATTCACTGCAGATGATTCATTGGTGAGCAAATGACGTAATGCTAAATTTCTCCAGATCTGTTCAGATGAACAAAGTCAAACTCATCTACAACTTTGGATGGCCTGAAGAAGAGTACATTTTCAGCAGATTTTAATATTTTGGTGAACTACTCCTTTAATAAGACGGTCCTTATAAAACAATACTCATGTTCTTTTATAGATGCTGAACTCAGTCCACATTTCATTTTTAATACCCATCATAAACCAACAGATGGAGCGAGATGGAAACTAAGACAAAAGATGGAAAACAGAGACAGAAACAAACAGAACAAAACACATAACAAAACAGTCCTGTTATTGTGTGAATACCGTGAGAAAAAGTATCTGAAGTAAAGTGAATTGTGTTAAATGTTCTGTTGTCTGACCATCGTCACACAGCTCTGAATGTCTCTAATGTGCAGCCCATCAGATCCTTCCACTTCAGGATGTTGAATCGTTTAAATCTTTTGTTTAATCAGTTTTTATTAGTAAAGCCTGTCATTTATGCTCAAGGATGAGATGAATTTAACCAGGCTTGTCAGTGCCACCTAGGGGACACGTGTCTGGGTGGTGTGATTCTGTCAGGCTTAATTTTTCCATTAAGCCTTAATAATTCTGCAGAAGATTTCCCATGAATCTTTGTGGGTTCTCTCATTTTAATCATGAATTTCTATTCACCAGGAGCAGATCTGTTTAACAAAGTTTGACATGATCAAACTGACTGAGGAGAGAAGTGGGAAAATTGCTTTATCTGTTTCTTGTAATAAAGAAAATGGTAAGAAACAGATTAAAGAATGATCACCGAATTTTTGTCTTGTTCTCTTTTCTTGTATATTTGGATCAAAATGATGAGGGACGGACTAGTGCATAACATTTCCATCAGTGCCGATTTAAACTTGAAATTGAACTAACTTATGTAACTATCAAAAAAGTATATAAGCTTATATTATTTTAACAAAGGACGCTAAACTTTGTGTATGTTTAGGCTCAGAGAGACATTTAGTTTGCATTATTCTATTATAGGTATATATGTAATGTATGTTTATGTAAGATTAATTTTAATGAATACATGCCTATTCTCAATCTTTTATGCCAGATTGGTGCTGAATTGACTTTAATGTCTGTTTGTGTCTGTACTGTTGCCAGACAAGTTCATTAACAAGGATAAACTGAATGAATGGATGAATGAATAAATACACAAGCAAATAAACAAATTGATTAAAGTATACGTATTTTATATGCAATATTTGTCATGTTTTATTATTACTTCTCAGTATTTAATTATTTAATACTGTCCTGTCTGTCATTATGTGGCCTAGTTTAATAACATGGATTGAATGTAAGTTGAGTGTTTTGTGTTATGTTTTAGCATGTAGTTTAAGGGAAATCATAGTGTGCTGTAATTTCACTTACATGGTTGTGAAGTGTGAAGTGAAATTCCACTGATGAACACATGAGGGCAGCAGTCAGCTGAGCACGTTGTCTCATTTAAGTTATTATTTTCTGTTCCTGTCAAGTGACATGTTGATGGCTTCGTGGCATGTGATACAGTCTATAGGAAATTATTAAATGTATGGAAAAAAATATTTGTAAATGTGTTTACTAATAAAATAAATATTTGTGCTGGTGAACAACCTAATACTAAAATATAATTTAAATATAATATAAGTAGTGGAGAGCCATGGTTTTCACTTAATATATTTTGTTATATTCCCTATCAATTAAAATTATAAGAGCATCTAAAACAGGAGTGTCAAACTCAATTCCTGGAGGGCTGGAGGGTTTTGTTCCAACCCTGCTCCAACACACATACCATGAAGTTTTCAAATAAGCCTGAAAAACGTGATTAGTTGGATCAGATGTGTTTAATTAGGGTTGAATCTAAACCCTGCAGGGCTCCGGCCCTCCTTGCCTTGTCTTGTGTAGCACTGCGTCTTTAACGATGTGGGCGGGGCTCATCTCTGTCTGGATGTGAGGCGGCCCAGCGTCCCACTAGCGGTGTGAAAACGGAGAGAAGTGAAGGTAAGCCGCGGCACATTTCTGCTTTCTCCATGTTATTATTAGTGCGCTGATGTATAGAGGCGGCGGCGCACACTCAGTTTCAGTCACCTAGAGTCAGAAATAATAAAACAATTCCACAAATGGGAGCGAGTCAGTATGTCACGCTCTGCAATGAACATGTTGATGAATATGATCTCATCATGTTAATCTGAATGTAACGCAGGGCAGAGATGTTAAATGATACTGTTGACTGACTGACACTTAATGAATATAATTCGTCATTCACAAATACAACACGTTTTATAGAATAGCTTTTTTATTCATGCCATCGAGATATGCATGTTTTATTGCAAATTTCATTGTAAGCATAATAATTGAGATTGGATTACCACGAATTACCTATTATTTCTTAATTTCTTGTTAGTTTGAATGTCCCTTATTTAATAATTTCAGACTGTGTTCAATACCTGTTTCTGTGACCGCGTGGGGGGTTGGTGGGGCTCGAGCCCCTGCCCCTTTAATCGATGCTAAAGTGGTGTCCCCCTCGGTGTAAATAGCGGTTGGGGTGGGGAGGGGGAGTCGCGATATCTACCCCAACGCAACTGCTCACCCTCATGTCATTCCAAACCTGTCTGACTTTATTTCTTCTGTGAAACATAAAATGAGATATTTTGAAGAATGTTGGTAACCATTGGTGTCCACTGACTTTCATTGTATGGATTAAAAAAAAACGGAGACATTTCTCAAAATATCTACTTTGTTTCATTTCGGGTGAACTCATAACTTATGTTATTGTTCTAAAACACCAGTTTCAGCAGGAGAAAACCATGGCAGCTCCATTCAGATCACTTGTGGAAGATTATCCAAGATACCTCAAATCATTTGAGCTTTTTCTGGAGCGCTCATCAGAGCACCAGTGCATGCAGGACTTCATTCATAATACGCTACCAGACATACTGGCAAGGTGCTTTATCGTTCTTGATGAATGTCATATTTTATTCATTTAGCCTGTCCTAGATTTGTAATGCAGAGTGTGCAAGCAGATTTAACAATGACAAGATATTATAATATTATCTTGCCTTTATTATGTTCTCTCTCTCTCTCTGCAGTATTGGAGGGGGGAGATCCGTTTTCAATGTAATGGGAGTAGGGAGTGGAGCAGGTATACTTTTCATAACGACTGAATTATTAACATTCTGTTTATATCATAATTTCATGCAGTAGCCTATATCAGATTTTAATACCTAACAGAGTTCTCACTTCTCCATATTCATCTAATTTCCAGGTGAGATTGATCTAGAGATGCTTGCTCAGCTACACCTGAAACATCCACATGTCAAAGTCGACAATGAAGTAGTGGAACCAAGCAATGATATGCTGCACAAATATAAAGGTACCAATCATTTTATTGATGCTCATTTAAGCTAAACATATACGCTTTTACTAATTCTAACAATAAATGGCTATTTATTCTTTTTTTTAATTTTTTTTATTTTATTCTTTCTGTTTAGTTCGGGTGTCAACAACTCCAGATCTTGATCATATTAACTTTGAGTGGAATAAGATGACAGCATCTGAATTTGAAAAACACTGGCAACAGAAAAACCCTGGGGAAAAGATGGACTTCATTCACATGATACAGGTTTTGAGATGTCGTGATATAATGGAAGTAGCGACAGGAAGTTTTCTTCCATTTTGTGACAGACATTCGAGTGAATTGGATTATCAAAAAAGAAATTAATGTAGGGCGATTCTATCCAATCAACAAGCAATGATTCTGTTCGTTGCTTGTTGATTGGATGGAGGCAGATCTTAATGTGAGTTTGCAGTCGATTGTAAGAAAGGGACGGGTCCTAAGTGGACTAAATGATTGAACAAGTCTGGCATACATCAACAGAGAAGTCTGACGTTTTACTGGAGGTCGAGTTAAGACATTTTAATTTAGAAATACAAAAATATGAATAAAATAAATAAAAATGATAAAAAATTAAACGTGCATGAAACATACATTTAGAAAAAAGATTCATTTTAATTTCATGTGACAATCATCAACTTAAATATATTATATTATTCAATCAATTAAAGTGATATAATTGAGGTCTGTATGTCAGACGTGTTTTGTTGTGTTTGTAGAATATTAATATCAGTCTGTTTAACAGATGCTGTACTACGTCACAGATCCAGAGGCCACTGTCTCATTTTTTCGGAGTCTTCTACACAAAGATGGGAAACTCTTAATCATTCTGGTGTCAGGTACAGTCAATTCTCTGAGTTCAAAACTTCGCCAAAGTGCGTAACTTAAATAATGTACCATTCAAGTAACTATACCTTTTGCTTAAATGGACTTTGGCTCACAGGTTTAGCTCAACTATGCTCAGCTTCAGAGGAAATGGAGTATAAAAGGTGAAATCAAATCAGTCAAAAAAGTGTTTTTTTTCTTCTTCTAATTTTCATTGAGCATTTCACCTTTGTAGGGCAGTACAGTGGGTTCAAAAAAATGTTTTTTCAAAAAAAAATGTGTCTGTTCTGTTTAAGGAAAAAATGACCTCAGTTCTGCTTCTACATATTGTAGGTGAGAGTGGATGGGGAAAATTATGGACAACCTTTAAAAAACAACTGTGTAATACTGAGATCAGCCAGTGTGTTACTACAGGAGATATAAAGACCTTCCTAGACACTGAGGGCATCCCCTACCGGAACTATGAGCTTCTGTCCCAGATGGACATCACTGAGTGCTTCACTGAGGGAGACCAGGTGGGAGAACTTCTGCTGGATTTCCTTACCGAGGTCATAAAGTTCAGTAAGAATGCTCCTGAAGACCTGAAGAAAGGAGTATTGGACTTACTGAGACATCCTGACTGCAGTAAAGAGGTGAATGGCAGGATCATATTCAACAACAACCTGGGAGTCTTAGTGGTTGAGCCGTAGCCCCAAGACTCCTTTATATCTCACCTGCACAAGAATATACAGTGGTTCTCAACCTTTTTGACCCAAAGCCCCTCATTGTCCACATTGTCAATAATATCAAAAGGCCCCATTACTTTTCCAGCTGTTTATCAGAATCAGAATCAGAAGAGCTTTATTACCAAGTATGTTTACACACACAAGGAATTTGACTTGACGACAGGAGCTTCCAGTGTAGAAGAAAGTACAAACATAGTGCAGACATATATAGGAATAACACAGTAGGGATGTAATATAACACTAATATAATAAAAAAAAGAAAAATTGAATAATGTACTATATACAGAAATAGAAGTATAGGAACAAAAGTAATTGTTTAGATAAATGTGCAGATATGTTATTTACAAAGTGTGCAGTTTAATATAAATATAACTATGTTGTGATGGACGATGTATAATTATGAAAGATTAATTGTTCAGACTGAATATAGCTTGTGGGAAAAAACTGTTCTTGTGCCTGACTGTTCTGGTGGTCAGTGCTCTGTAGCGCCGACCAGAAGGCAACAGTTCGAAGAGAGAGTGGGCTGGGTGTGAAGGGTCCAAGGTGATTTTTTTAGCCCTTTTCCTCACTCTGGAGATGTAAAGATCTTGGAGGCTGGGCAGAGGGACACCAATAATCCTCTCAGCAGTCCTGACTGTCCGTTGTAGTCTCTTGATGTCTGATTTGGTTGCTGAACCAAACCAGACAGTTATGGATGAACACAGGACAGACTCAATGATAGCAGAGTAGAACTGTTTCAGCAGCTCCTGTGGCAGGTTGAATTTCCTCAGCTGGCGAAGGAAGTACAACCTCTGCTGGGCCTTTTTTGCAATGGAGTCTATGTGAGTGTCCCACTTCAGGTCCTGAGAGATAGTGGTGCCCAGGAACCTGAATGACTCCACTGCAGTCACAGTGCTGTCCATGATGGTGAGTGGGGGGAGTGCAGGGGGTTTTCTCCTGAAGTCCACGATCATCTCCACAGTTTTGAGCGTGTTAAGCTCCAGGTTGTTAAGACTGCACCAGACAGCCAGCTCTTTAACCTCCTGTCTGTAAGCAGACTCGTCTCCATCCTTGATGAGGCCGATGACTGTAGTGTCGTCTGCGAACTTCAGGAGCTTGACAGAGGGGTCTTTAGAGGTGCAGTCATTCGTGTAGAGAGAGAAGAGCAGTGGGGAGAGTACACATCCCTGGGGAGCGCCAGTGCTGATGGTGATAGTCCTGGATGTGAGTTTGCCCAGCCTCACTAGCTGCTGCCTGTCTGTCAGGAAGCTGGTGATCCACTGACAGATGGAGGTGGGCACGGAGAGCTGGGTGAGTTTGTCTGAGAGAAGGTCAGGCATGATGGTATTGAAGGCCGAACTGAAGTCCACAAATAGGATCCTTGCGTAATTCCCAGGTCTGTCGAGGTGTTGCAGGATGTAATGCAGTCCCATGTTGACTGCATCATCCACAGACCTGTTTGCTCTGTAGGCAAACTGAAGAGGATCCAGCAAGGGTCTAGTGATGTCCTTCAGGTAGGCCAGGACCAGTCTCTCAAGTGACTTCATGACCACAGATGTGAGAGCGACAGGTCTGTAGTCGTTAAGTCCAGTGATTTTGGGCTTTTTGGGGACCGGAATGATGGTGGAGCGTTTGAAGCAGCAGGGAACTTCACACAGCTCCAATGATCTGTTGAAGATCTGTGTGAAGATGGGGGCCAGTTGGTCAGCGCAGACTTTTAAACAGGCAGGTGAAACACCATCTGGGCCTGAAGCTTTTCTAGATTTCTGCTTCCTGAAGACCCGGTTCACATCCTCTACACAGACCTTAAGCACAGGTTGAAGGGGGGGGGAGGGAGGGAGGGGGGTTGCAGGGGTGGTAGGTGAAGGTGTGAAGTGCAGATCAGAGCGGATGGGGGGTGGTAGACGATCCTTTTCAAATCTGCAGTAAAACACATTCAGATCGTCAGCCAATTGTTGATTCTCCGCAAGCTGTGGGGGTGGTGTCTTGTACATGGTGATGTTCCTCAGACCAGTCCATACTGACGCTGGATCGTTTGCTGAAAGCTCTTTTCTCAGCTTTTCTGAGTAGTTTTTTTTAGCCACTCTGATCTCCTTTGTTAGTCTGTTCCTGGCCTGGTTATACAAGATTTTATCCCCACTTCTGTAAGCATCCTCTTTGGCGTGACGAAGCTGTTTGAGTTTCCCAGTAAACCACGGTTTATCATTATTAAATGATAAGAATGTCCTGGTAGGAATGCACATATCTTCACAGAAACTGATATATGAAGTTACAGTCTCTGTGAGCTCGTCCAGATCGGTGGCTGCAGCTTCAAAGATGCTCCAATCAGTGAGGTCAAAACAAGCTTGTAAATCCTGCTCTGCTTCATTAGTCCATCTTTTTACAGTCCTTAATACAGGTTTAGCTGATTTCAGTTTCTGCCTGTAGGTCGGTATTAGATGAACCAAACAGTGATCAGAGAGCCCCAAAGCTGCTCGTGGGACAGAGTGATATGCATCCTTTATTGCTGTGTAACAGTGATCCAAAATAGTGCTGTCTCTGGTGGGACACGTAATGTGCTGCTTGTATTTTGGCAGTTCACGGGAGAGATTTGATTTGTTAAAATCTCCAAGAATGATTAAAATAGAGTCTGGGTACCTTTGCTCCATTTCAGTTATTTGTTCGGCCAGCTGTTGCATCGCGGCGCTCACGCACGCGTCCGGAGGCACGTACACATTCACGAGAATGAAAGAGGAAAACTCCCGCGGCGAGTAGAAAGGTTTACAGTTTATGATGAGTGCCTCTAAATTAGGACAGCATACCTTTTTCAGCGTTGTTACATCTGAACACCAACGTTCGTTGATGTAGAAACACAATCCACCTCCTCTGGTTTTCCCCGTTAACTCCGCGATGCGATCCGCTCTGAACAGCTGGTAGCCCGGCAGATGAAGCGCGTTGTCCGGAAAAATGTACAGATATGTTTATTAGTGTGCAGATATGTTATTTACAAAGTGTGCAGTTTAATATAAATATAACTATGTTGTGATGGACGATGTATAATTATGAAAGATGATGATTTATTGATAAGGATTAAGAATGATTTCTACATTTTAAAAGCTGTAAAACTAGACAGATGTGTATTCGTTAATACACTGAATTGTAAGATTTTATTAATTAACATGACATTTCTAAATCACACTTTCATAATCAGACTACCTCATATTTTTTCAAGTCAATGGGAACCTTAGTTCAAAAAAATATATAAAACAGTTGCTAAGGTGGTCAATTAAACAAAGAAATATATTGATTTTTAGTTATTTTGTCTTATTTTAAACCATTTTAAGTAATTTTAAGGCCCCTTTGGTGGGCCCTGGCCTCATGGTTGAGAATAACTGGTCGAGGAAGTACAGAATGTCTGTATTTTCACATTTTTAGAAATGTTCTGTTTCTTTACCGTTTTCTACAAAGAGAAGAAGAAATGTGGCTTATCATAACAATAGAATTTATTTTAATGAATTTATTCAAGAGCCTTAAAGTGCCCCTATTATGCCATTTTAAAGGTTCCTAATATTGTTTTGGGAGTCTCCTACAATGCATATTCTCAAAATATGCATTTAATATAATTTTCCAACGATTCTCAAACAATTAGTTCTAAGCAGTTCTAAGATTCAGTCTCTCTAAACCCCTCCTTTCTGTGAGATGGCATCAACATCAAACAAAAGTGTTTTAACGAAGACCTATGTAGGTGACGTGTCATGAAGAAACCTTGTAGCACAAACTCCAGTATGTGTAACTTGTACTTTGTGAAACTCGTCCAAGCAGCAAAGTACAACTTTTGTATATTGACTTATTAACTCACAGGGACACAGAGTGAATGATTTTTCTACAACAGTCATTATGATGAAAGAGATGAGATTGTATTTTTTGGTGACTAGTTGTGTTGTTGTGACCTTATACCTCATTTAGGTTTGGAGAGACGTTTAATGCCTAACCAGACAGGACAAAGGTTGTATAGACATTTCAAGGTTAAAAATGCTTGAAACTACAAGTTTTATTTGATAACTGAGTGTAGACGGCTTGTTGAAATAGCACTGCCTTCCCTTTGTATTTGCTTACAGTATTATTGCATAGTAACTTGAACATTGTCTTGTGTCCATCAGCATTTCTGTATATCTGTCCCACATAACAATAAAACATTACATTAAATTGACATGATTAACTTAAAAAGAAGCTTGAGTGTCTTTTGAGCCATATACTGTACCAAACTTAATCTTACTATCATTACCATAATGTAATCTCGAAACAGTCGATTTTCTGCCAACTACTGGACTGGAATTGGATGGCACACAAGAGAGCAATGGCAGCTTTGATTTCATTTTTAAAATTGCGTAAATAGTGTTCTTTTTTTTCCACTTAAACCTCATGGATGCTATTAGAGTTAAAGTCACGATTGTGTTGAATCCAACCAAACGCATTTTTGTGTTTTTCGAAAGAAAGAAAAAGTCATAAAGTCTGGAACAACATGATAGTGAGTAAATTACTTTTTCTTTTTTTTTTATATATATATAATAGGATTAAAGTATTTTAACATAAAATGCAAATTGGTACCTTGTGGGTTGATGGCATACCATTCTGCAGACCACAAGGTTATCTTAAGTTAATTCCTTAGGTTCTCTGGTAATATACATTTCTAATTAAGAGAGTGTATTATGCATCAATTATTATGTAGTTTTGATCATTTCTGCAGTTTGCCCTTCTCTGAACAGGACTGCAGGAGGAAAGCACTTTGCATTTTAAGTGACAGTGTCCTGTGGGCCACACTGCAACAATACATCTTGTCTCCACCTACTGGTAATTAAAGTAACTTTTTATAACAATATAAAGTCCATTCTGCTGCAGTGCAAATTATAGTATGTGCAATCTCCAACAATGCACCTCAGTGGAACCAAAGACCTCACCAAAGACAACTATAAGCAAATAGCAGTTTCTGCTAATCTCATATTTATCTTGTGTACCTATAGAGTAGTATTGCG